CTTCTCTTTCTTTATCTCTCTTATTTTCCTTTTCACGTGTTCCCTCTCTTCTACCTTTTCTTCTTTTCATTTTCTTCTTCGTCTGATTTAACGTGTTCCCTCTCTTCTTCCTGCTCTTCTTCTTTTCAAAATGAATGCCTAAGAACACCAAAAAAAAAAATTATCAGCTAGTTATACACGTATATAACAATTAATTTAACTAAAAAGCAACACAAATAGTTGTTTTGTAACTTAAAAAATTAACAATATATATTATGAAAAAACATATAAAATAAGTAACAAAACAACAACATTATAACATCCTTAAAACAACATGAAAACAACTTTATATTAATAATAAAAAAAATTAACAATGTTGAATTAGAATAAAAATTGCAATTGCCTTGTACAGAGCACCACTAAATTATAAACCAAGAACAAAGACTCCAACATACCACTAAAAATATAAAGAAAACAAACAGTAATTACACATACGAAGACATAGGACATGTAACTCACCATACAATGAATCCACAAGTATCTTTTAACAATTAAAGAATCAAAATAGCAACACATACGGGACAAATGTAATTTTTGCAAATAAAAAATAAAAATAAAAATTATAACTTTTGCAAAGATACAATTTTCCAGGTGGGTTTTATGAAATATTGAATGCCAAAACAATAAAAAATCATACATAACAATTTTCCCTGTAACAATAATTAGCATAACCAAAACGAAAAAAAAAATTATCATCTGTAATATAATCACCATAAGAAGAAATCAACATAAAAATAATAAAAAAAATACCATCTCCGGTATCTGTTCGCTGGTCGTCGCCACTCAGAAAAAGGGCCGAACACAAACCTTTGATTGGGGCAGTCCATCCGGCATCGGTCTGCCGTCAATTCGCGGTCTGATCTTCGCAACGGTCCCAAGTGCTGCTGTCGCTGATTTGAAAGTTGCTCCCTCAGATCTGTACGTTTGCCACCATCATGAGCGAAGCATGTCGGTCAACGTCGGTCGCCTTTTTTAAAATATATAATTTTGAGAGCGGAAAGAAAAAAGAAATTCAGAAATTTGGGGGAGGAGTATTTTATGTGAGTATGTTATGGGTAAGAAATCGAAGCGAAAAATGAGAAATAATTAGAGATATGTGGTTTGTACTTTTTGAGAAGGAAGAAGATAGAGGAAAGAAAAAAATAGAGAAGATTGACGAGAAAAGAGATATAATGGAAGAGAGAGAAAAGAAAAACTGATTGCCTAGAAAAACTGATAATTTGGGTATAAAATGGAAACATAAAAGGGATTATTGACTTAATTAATAAACCATATCATTAAAGTAAACGTTTTTTTAAAAGGATATGCAGTGTCCTTTATTCTATTTTTATCAGTAGAATTAACCCCTATTTCTACCGTTATCCGTGTTCTTTCCTAAAATCTATTGTGAGGTAATTATGAAGATGTGTTTCTATCCCTTATCTCTCGGTCTTCCATTCCAATCTTTTCTCAACATTTAGAAAAGGGTAACAATCCATCTACATCTTCAATTGAGATCCAATTAGAGAAACAAAAATACTATTCAAAAAACTTTTAAATACTTACTGTGAGGGTATTTTAAACTAATAATAATATTAATTTGAAACTACAAATGCTGGAAAGGATAGCGAAATCAAGGTCTTTGGACATCCAATTGTCCTGTCTTTTAATTTTGTCCCCTTTTCTTTTATTATGGAAATATTTAAATTATAATGGGAATCAAGCACCGAACCCCTTAGATAAAGCGTTTACTAATTCACAAATTGTTGCAGTTGCTTGAGATGGAAAAATTATGCGTCCGCATATAAATTAGAAATAAAGAATAAAAATTCGAGCACGCCTCAAACAAAAGAAAAATAAAAAGACGAAGAAACACGCCTCAATCACATATTATTTTCTTTTCGGGTTCTTAAATGAAATTAATTAAATGTCCCACAATCGATCCGGATATTGCCGTCCCTCCCAGTTTTGACCCCAACCCGGCCCAATTTAGTGATGGCCTGGATAAAACTAGCATTAAAGGCCCCACTGTTCGAGGCCCAAGTAGAAACTGTATTCCTTGACCTCGTGTCCGTAAACAGGACTTGGTCCGAGGTAAAGAGGCCCTTGCCCTGGACAAGATTCTGAAAGTAGGCATTGTCGAACGTCCTTGGACTGGTTGGGTCCATATTGATGGCGATCCTAGGGTCCACCTTTATTGGGCACATTCCCTGCAATTGGGTCGCGTATTGTGGGTTTAGGGTTGGGTCGACCGGGTTTTGACGACTGAAATTGTATATTCGGTTTGAGAATTTGCTGCAGTGTGAGAATCCTACGGTGTGGCAGGCTGCATAGTACCAAAAGATAATCTATATGAGCACATGACACACAAATTTCTTTGATACATTAAATAGATATTTTTGGAAATTAATATTTCCTAACAATTTCTGTGTTGTTAGTGAAATAAAATGAATTTCCAGATTTAATTGTTAGCAAATAAGCACCTGAGAGAGCAATCATGTCCTCCTGAGACAATCCCCTGGAACCAAACATGGCATTGAGCTGATTCAAATTGAAGCCTGGCTGAGGCAGATTTCCATTCACACTTGCGGCCGTTGAACTCAGCCCATCCAGTCGGCCCAACTCCACGGTGTACATGGGCCCACCAGACTGCAAACGGTCCAGTTATTATTATTAATTTCGTTATTTTATTTGTATTCTTCAAAATAATAATAATAATAATAATAAAATAATTAAATTAAAAAAAAAAAAGAAATACGAACCAGGACAATTGCATCCCTAGTAGCCAATGCAAGAATATNTAACAATGAACAAAAAAATATTTGTTTACATATGTTTCTAATTCACTAAGTGCACATTATCATTCATAGCACAATTTTCAAAAAATAAAATATGGAAAGTTGCTAATAAGTAGAATATATTGATTTGAACAGATGAAAGTGGAACAAGAAATCTGACGTAAGGTAAAAAGTAGCTTTGGGTATTATTTACCGAGACGAAACAATCATGGAAAAAGAGGCGGATTAAGGCCGGGACAGTAACAAAAGTCTGTTTGAACTTAGCGGTTACGGCTCGTCTGACAATGTTCTCAACGTCAGGGCAAACATTCGCGTAGTAATTTGGTTTGAGTTGAGCCGAGGCTGAGCCGGACAACAGGACCGTAACGCTCAAAGAAAGTGACAATAATGTCGCTAGAAAATATTTTCGCCCCATATTATTAATAATTATTTATCCGGTCGAGCTTGGTTTTGTTCTATTGCAAGAGATCAATGTTTAATGCGATCATGGGGTCATTATGTATATAGATGTGACGATTAATTTAGAAATGCGATGCGCCTATTGTCAAATGTAAATATATAAATAATTAATTAAAAAAAATTGGTGAGGTTATGGGAATAATTGTGTTGCCAGTTGGCTTAGAATCTTTCTACAACGCAGATAAGGATTAATAATTGACGACAAGGGAATAAGTGATGTAAATAATAAAGCCACAATCTTGAGAGGGATATTTGATGCTGGCGTTTTGGTTCATGACCGCCTTTGTTGTTTTGCACACTTGTTTCAGATTGTTAAAAGTTTAAAAATTATGTAAAATTAAAAAGATATTACTTTTAATTTTAACATTAAACGAAACAACATGGCTAGGGGATTTTACATAATTTTTAAACTTTTAACAAGCTTTGCCTGAGCTCGTTTATCGATTCTTTAATTTAACAGTTGGACTTGATAAGGACTCGAGCTCCAACTCAAGTATCAGAAATTTAAGCTCAGATTGACTTAACTCAACCCTTTACTCAATGATTAAAAAGAAAAAGGTCCCGTTGCCAAATATATGTAATTAGGTATGCTCTTTCAATTAAAACAACAATCAGCACATACCTCAATCAAACAAAAGTGCGAAGCCACTATATCCCAGATTATTTTACGCAATACAAGTGATTTGATATTAATGAGTCGTACAATAAATACCATTAAAACTAAAGCTAGTTGTACACTTGTATCAAAGTTATACATCAGATGGATAGGATAATAGCGGTCTTCCACTCGATAATACAAATAACAAAAATACACACATTAATAGCTACTTGAATGGAATCTTTTACATTGTATATACCACACGTAATAAATATTGTTATCTAAATTTGTATACACCATATTTTTAGTGAATCTGGTGAGCACAATCTGTCTTTTTTAAAAGAAATATTTTTGACTTAATAGGCAGTCATTATCAATTCTAATTTCAAACGGATAACTCTTTTACGTAATCTATATGTGCAACGTTTCGTGCGGCTGCTTCTATCTTACTCTGTTGCTTTATTCGCTGTCATTTATGAAGTATAATTACTAGGCCCGGTATTCATTATACTACTAGGGTGCGTTTGGTTTAAAAATGATTTTGGCTTGATATTATCATTTACGGGTTTCAATAGGTATCAGAGTGATTGTATCAATTTTATAATTAAAGAAAATTACCCACTGCACGAATTGAGTTTCTTCTATGTACACATTAACGAGAGAATGTTTTTTATTCCTTTTGAATAACAATAATTCCACTAAGATGACAGTAAATAATTTTATATTCCACAAATATCATTGTTTGACTTTATGTAAACATTGATTGATTAATTAACTAATTGAATAAAAAAGGCAATAAACATATTTTTAGGGATGTGTGATTCCCAATCGATATCTTGTCTCTCTTTCTAACATTATACTTATACTCACAAATAAACGCCCTATTCTTAGCGAGTCAGAATTACACCAAGAACTTATTAATTACTGTACCTATTATTAACTATTTTTTTTGTTTTTTGTTTTTTTTTTTTACACCAAACATAAACCATATCAAAACAAACACTTCAAGTTAAAAAATAATCTTACTTCTTGAATTCATATTTTGTTAATATTCAATTTATATGTGATTTATCAATTAATTTATTTCTGGTTTATGCGTGATATATTTTGAGCTATATGCTTGCCACATTGTAGTATGAGTAGTTTATTTCTACTTTTCTACATTACGAATGATTTTTTCACATTGATATATTTTAATTGTATATTTTGATAAAGTTTATGTTTAGTGTAATTTAATAATTTATAATATTTTTTACACAATGAGAAAATAATTATATTGGTATGTTATTTTGTAAGATTTACATTTTGATTTCTAGTTTAATAGGAACCATAACTTTCTATAGGTAATATTATCCATTTGGTAGTTTACTTGTAGCATACCTTTTTTTTTTTCCAAAATATTGGAGCCGTATGAGATAAAAAGAAAAAACTAGGAAGAAAAACCCCAATTAAACTTAATTATCATCGCATTTAAAGAAATAACTTTTTTTATTAGACAGATAACTTGATTATTAATAGATACTTTGTTCAAAAGTTTGGATAATAACGTATTGAGCGCACGAGTACAAAGGAGATTATATGGAATGCTAATATTAATTGTATTTGGAGAGAAAACTTGCTTTAAATGGGAGAGATCAAAATTATATAGAATATAAAATACTAATTGTGATTCGAGAGAGAGTGGGTGAAATTTAATTGGATTGGTAAATCGTAGACTCCTATCACATATATTGGATGACTTCCATAAATTGATAATCTCGTTCTTGTGACATTAATTTTTCTCACAACCATGAACATGGAATTACTTTTAAGGCTTCGCTGTTATGCTAATTTCTTTTGGAATTCTCATAATTATGTACTTAAGCCATTACACTTTATTATCTTGGAATTACTTTTAAGGCTTCGCTGTTATGCTAATTTCTTTTGGAAATCTCGTAATTATGTACTTAAAGCCACTTTATTATCTTGTTTGGTTATTAATTTGTTATAGTTGATATCCAACCTAATAATTTATTATCTTGTTTGGTTATTAATTTGTTATAGTTGATATCCAACCTAATAATTTATTCTCTTGTTTGGGTGAGAATGCATGTACACATTAAAAATTGCGTTTTCCATTATTGACCTCACTCTGTCTATTTTATTTTTTATCTTCATACCCTATGGAGCATCTTTCATTAAAACAAAAACAACTAAAAAAAAGTGAAAAAAAAGAAAACCAAAAATCAAATTGCATGCACCATAAGAAATCATTGAACATTAATTGAACATTACAATATTATCATAAACAAATGATTTAGTAACTTGATCTCACCAAGAATTACAATGAAAAGACTGTAAAATGAACTTATTCTAAGAACAACTATTGGCGCCCTGAAGTCGCAATGAACACAAATTAGCTAGTCATTGAAAATATACTCCCTTACCAAAATCATTCAAAGATTATTCAAAATTCATAAAAACGTCTCTACAAACCATTATAATCTCCAACATAACAAAATAATCTAAACCATAATGCAATCCTAGATTATATTTCATCAAAACAACATAAATTGAGATGTGATTCCAAAAATGTCTTTTCAACAGATCATGGGATGTCGGATGTAATTCTAGGTCCTTGATTTAATAAATGAGCTTGCACAACAAGGACTTTTGGTTATGAAGATTCTTGATCTTTCTTGCTAATTACTCCAACAGTTTTTGTACCTAAACAATATAAGACACTGCAAGTTAATCACGAGAGATATGTGATCATAAAAAAATTCTATTTTCAAAATCATAAATAAAAAATAATATCATGTCCAGACCAACCTTCTCCATCTTGTTCCTTGGCGATTCTGATGGCTTTAGCTAAAACCAACTCTAAAGCTTGAGTGACAAGTATTAAAACGAGTAATATTGCATCACTAAGTCCAAATAAATATCAAGCCCAATAAACACAATTGCTAGGAATAACAAGCCAAAGATTTGTAATTTAAGCTAGCTGGAATTGATGAAAAAATAAAATAAAATTTAAAGAGCAAACTGATGATGAGTGTGATTAAGAAAATAAATACTCAGCCACGGAATTTATTTATATAAAAATCTTTGCTATGAAATTAAGAAAATCTAGGCTTCATAGATACACACACACACAGCATCTACACACAAGTATAGTGTTACAAGAGAACTAAGTTGAGCTCAAGATACAAAACTTTGTTTTGAAAAAAAAAAATCGTATAAATCTACTTATATTTGGTATTTATTTCAACAAATTACAATTCCATGTGTAATGTTCATCTCAAGAAACAAAAGCAAGTAATCACTAATATATATTTCTTTTAAAAAACGCAGAAAAAAAAAGAACTGCCGAAACTAACAACTATTTACCTATGGGTAACTTCACAAGCTTAAAATGCACTTCTCTAACATTTGTAGTTTGCATGATTAACACTGTAGCTTCTCCCACATTCATAATGGGTAATTCTGTTGGTGCTCCGAAAATTTTGTATAAATTTCATGAACTTCCAAGTTCAAACTAACATTACAATATATGTACCGAACCCTGACAGCAAATCACACAAAAAAAAAAGAGATACATTAGTTCTCGAGCCTAAAAGTACCACTAGCTACCTCATTTCCTAATCGAACTTCACCGAAAATTAGTCAAACACTTGGCACGAACAATCAAACAATTAAAGCTAAAAACCAACAAGAATTACAGAGTAATAGCTTGCAATGGGTTAAAGATGCCATACTGTAGCCGCCATGTTCGTTGAGCTTGTCTTGGACGACCATAGAAGGGATGAAGTGGGAGGCCTCATGTGCCTCGTCAAGGAGGCAGCTGCTGAGCGTGAAATCAAGCCTTTGAACACACGCATACACACAAGGAAAACCTAATCCTCAAGTCTTTACTCATAAATTTCACAAAAATACCTTCAAATCGGCAGGAAAACACACCACCAAACAACGAAAAAATCAGAACACAAAAAGAAAAGAAAAGAAAATCACAAAGTACCTTTCCAGGTAGCCAATCGCTTGCTTTCCTTCTGAATCCAACCTAGCTCAGCCTGGAGTTTCTTCTTGACCTCCATCTTCTTCTTCTTCTTGATCTCCTCCTCCTTGGCCCTAAACGTCCACAGGACAGACTTTGAAATCTCCTTGTCCTCCTTCGTGAGCCGTCGTGATTGGATAAGGAGAAGATGACGAAGGCGAATGTGAACAAATTTAAGAACACCAGATGACGGATCTAAGAAACAAAGATGAACCTACCAAAGAAGAGATCTAGGGAGAAGTCGGGTGTTCTTCTCGCCTGATAGGGTTTGTGCCATAAGGGACAACACAAATGAGAAATGAGTGATTTTTTTTGATGAATTTTGATATTTCAGAAGGGGTAAATTTGACATTTTACTGGTGAACCTTAAACGCCTTGATATGGTATCCGACCTCAAGTGCGGGATGCGTAATACCGGAAATGAGGGAAAAAAACCGGGCTATGCCCATATCATGGGCTTTTTTATGCTCAACCAAACAAACATGTTAAACTTGTGGATATAATATCAATTTATAGGATATCAAGGCCTATATGGCCAACCAAACCGACCCCTAGTGCCTACTTATGCGATGCATGGACTAGTAATATCAAGAGATACATTCTAATTTGGATAATAGAATCATTGTTTAAAATATAAAACGCGTTTATTGGAATAAAATAAAATGTTATTTATATATTATTAAACATTTATTTATAAACAAATATTCTCGTTTCATTTTTTGCTATATTGTCCTCTCCACAAAATTAAAATCTTCAAACTCTTATGATTCGTAACGTGTGAAATATCTACATACAACTGACCGTAACTGAGCATTGGTTAGTTAAAAAACAGGCCAACATGCGATAATATTGACCCTTACTCTTTATATCATCATAGGGTAAGAAACCATTAACGGGAACTGCCTTCGTTGGCATTTGAAATGCATCCTAACATCAGAAGGAGTTAGGGTCATCTGTGGAACAAATACCTTTCTCACCTGAATGATATCTAATGACGATTTTACATTCGAGCACATGAGTTGAGAGATTTGTAACAACCAATCGCGTTCGTTGATATCCCCACAGATATTTTCATGTTCCTCAACAACATGACCAGAGTTCTATCTTCAACCGCAACTTAAGATTCGACACTCCCGAACATTTGATAGAATTCAAGAACTCAAGTGTGTCTAGATCATATAAAAAGTTGTTTTGGCAATCTGATTTGTACATATCGTCAGAACTCAAATACTCAAATACGTATGTCCTTCATTCAAATTTGCGACGTCATTGTTAAGAGTGTCATTCAACTCAGCTACATCGGTGCTGACGTGGATTATGACCATGCATCAAGACAAAAACAAAAAGCATCTCCAAACCCTTATAGTGATTGTGTAGTTGAAAACAAATCTTATCCTTCAAGTCATTAGTTGTAGCCGCATGTGATATATTTCCTATATAGGTTTGCTTTGAGAGAGTGAATTTGTATGATCAGAAAGCAATGAAATAGTGATCCATTATTCGAGCAAAAATGAAGATCCATATGATTGCATTAATGGTGTTTGCCTTACTTCATTCTATAACCAGCTCTATCATGGTTGCACCTCCTCAACCAGCTCTATCCATATAATGGTGTTTCTCTCTTTTCTGATTCAAGCAGCCTTTATCATGGTTGCACCTCCTCAACAGCCAGATCTGGTTATCCAACTCTAAAACCAGCTCCTTACCACCAAACTATATGAAAATAATTTTCTTGTTTGGGAACAACAGATCTTGGTCACCATCAGATAGCATGATCTTCTTGGCTACTTGATTGGTGATACACCAACTCCGGATAAACTCACTAGAGATCCAACAAGTGGAGAGCTTATCGTCAACAAGACTTACTTAAGCTAGGTCAAATAAGATCAGCGTATAGCTTCATGGCTACTATCCTCCTTGTCAAAAAGCATCCTCATCACTACAGTTTACTTCAACACATCAAAGGAGATATGGGACTGTTTGAAGAAGAGTTGTTCTAGTCACACCCTTCTTAGGCAACTGCAGCTAAATCTTGAACTTCAAACTTAAAAAAAATGGAGCTTCAAGATAAAGGAATACTATAACAAAATCAAAGGGATCTGTGACCTATTGGCTAGTGCTTGTTGTTTAATTGTTTTTAGCCGAGTATGATCGAAGGATCTCAATCGGGTCGTCTCTCAAAGGAAGACTATTCAGAGCTTCGTTTAAGTATTAATTTTCAAAAGCACAAAAAGAGAAAATAAAGTCCTAAGCATTCTAAGCACGATTGAGAGGTTAATTTAAAATTTGCACTAATTAAGCTAAGCAATGAAAGCAATTAAAGAAAGATGCAAGCTTTGAAAGAAAGATTCCAACTTTGGTCATCCGGAGTCTCCTCGACGCGATAAAATGAAAATAGAACAAAGAGAAACATGCTAGCAATGAGTGAGGTTCTAGGTAATTAAAATCGAGCCTTCTAACCTAAATGATCAAGCTTTAAACAAAGTCTTAACCTTTATAACAAGATAAGCATGAATTCAACTCCTAAATCACTTAAGCAACCAAGAAAAATAGAAAGATCCTGAAAACCAATCCTAGACACAAGATTCCGTCCAAGACACCAACTCAACCTCGATTTCAAACCTAAATGTGTTTCTTAGGAAGATAGGTTGAGGCTACAGAAGGTGAGTGGTCTTCTACTAGATGGGCAGAAGGGGCTGGGATAAGGAGTGTGTGTTGCAAACTTTTAACCCTTTTAATTCAGAGCTTATACTGAACATTCCAACCAAACAGATGGGGCCCAAAGATCGTCTCATATGGCAGTGCAGCAGAAAAGGTACTTTCTTGTTAAAGGATGCCTACAATAATATTCTCAAGCAGTCTCATAACTGACATAAGGTGTGGCTAGCTCAAGCCATAGCCAAGGAAAAATGCAGAAGATCTAGAAAACCATTTGGGAGTTGTCTATTTTATCTAAAATGAAAACTTTCATTTAGAGATGCTGGTTTGAGTTTATAGGAGTAAAAAATCAATAATGCTGAAGGGGTTGAAGATTGATGGTATTTGTGATTGTTGTGGTCTGGATGAGGAAGATCTCGGTCATGCTTTGATAAATTGTGAAAGAGCAGCTAAATGCTGGAAACTCAGCGGGATGCAATGGGATCATTTCGAAGCCCATAATTATAGTTTTAGGTCTTGGTAGGGTGAAGTTTGCAGTGGAGATAAAAGGGAATGCTTAGAGGAAAGGTTGAGTCTGTCAGCCTTCATCTTGTGGGAACTATTGAAAGTTAGGAATGAATGAGTGTTTAATAAAGTGTGGGTGGTTGAGAAGAGTATTGTTGAGAAGGCTTATCTGGGGTAGGTAGAATTGATGGCCTCAGCAAGGGCATATGGAAGTTAATAAGGGAGTTGAGGTCGGTTTTTTAAACCTGGGGGATCAGCTTTCATCAGGGGTAGGGCAACTAGTAATATCTATCAGTGCACATCGATCCACTGGGGGAAAGGTTGGGTTTGGTTGTTTAGCAGTTGAAGGTGGCTAGATTCTTAAAACCTGTTCATCGTAAGCTCAGGCTGACTGTGGAAGAATATGGACTAAGGAGCATCCGATGGGGACTGGAAATCACCTTGCTACAGGATCTTAGGGATTTTATTTGTTCTGTAAGAGAGCCTACCAAATTGCAGGATCTTCTTGCGAGGACAGGTTATCTAGGAAGATAATCAAAGCTCCTGCTGGATATTCAAAATCAATCTTATAATTTGGTATGGCGTGACTTCGTGTTTCATGCTAGTCTCGTTGTTTTTAGTTCTAGGGTAGCCATGGTGGTTATGCAGGTGGACAGTTTGTGATGTCCCCCGGTTGAGGGACTTCTCCGTTCTTTGTTATTCGATTTCACTAAAAAAATTGTTATATTCCAACAAAAAATTCTATGGTAGTATATTCCAATGGTATAGCTTCTGTTGGAATGATTACAACGGAAACTCCAACGAAATATTCCTTTGGAATGTGTTTTTCATTAGAATTTTAGATGGAATTTGATGATTCCAACGGCTATATTTCCAACGACTTTTTACCGTAAGAATTTTTATTTCCACTCCCGTTGCAATCGTCAAAATCCAATGGAAATTCCAATGGAAAACTCATTCCAACTGATATTTTTGTTGGAATTTCAGTTGGAATCCATTGAAAAATTCCAGCGGAAATAATAGCATTGAAAAATATCCATTGAAATTGTCGTTGGAAACTTATTTGAATATACTTCCGTTGGAATTTTATTTTATTTTTGTAGTGTTTGGTTCCTTTTCCAACCAGTTTAGTCGTGGTTGTAGGACTTTTATTTTAAGTTATTAATCTCTTTGGTTGTCGNGTTTTCGAAAAAAAAAAAAAAAGAAGAAAAAAAGCTATCCTCAAATACTACAAGCATCTTTTGCATTATAGTCACGAGAACAAATAAGCTTGTGGAATCTAACCAAAGGCTTTTAATTAGCCGGTCAAAATGACATAAGCATAATGGTTCAAACACCTAAGATATGGCTTAAACGTCCATAACCAAACACCTAACGAATGAAATGTGAATCTTAGACTTTGATAAATATATAGCATGGGAGGTAAAATTTATGAATTCACTTTTATTATCCAAATTTGAAATGCTAACATTTCAAAAATCTCAAAAGAAACACCACCATAGCAAGAGTATCCACTACAAAATTGTTAAACGGGCATTTCCTCGCACACAAACAAAATTGTAAAATACGTGCAATAACATGTGGTTTCGATGACAACTTCGCCCCCCATTAAATATAGTTGAAGAAAACACTAATTAACTAATAAAAATCTAACACAAAGAGCAAAACCTAGACAAAAACCTAACCATAAACTAATCGCAAAAATTTATAGAAAATACCCATTAACACTGTAGTTTGGACACGACTTTATTAATTAGTGGATATTTTGTTCAATCGAACAAATTATTGTGCAATTTTGGTGTTCACTCGTATGTGCTGTGTGGAAGACATCCAGAGGTATTGCTTCTATTTCATGTAACCAATCAGAATCCTATATGTTATAATAGTTTTTAATCTTGATAGAAAATTGCCACCTACTTCAAAATTCTGGATTATTGAACCCGTAACACATAATCAACCTTGAAAATTACCTCTTAACTGATGAGGCCAATCAATCACGAATACGTTAATATATTTATGACGTGAGAGGATCTAAAATGAAATAATTTTTATTGAATAGCATTGGCAGAAAGCGAAATATTAGTTTTATGTATAGATTTGGGACTCCACCATCTGTCATCATTGTGGCATTATCCTAGGTAGGATTTTGAGTTAACGTCTTAAACTCAGTACTTAGTCCATGTCATTAGCTTCATAATTATGTCACCCGTGACACACGAACATGCCAAAATGAACGCAAAATTACTTGTTTGTCGAGTCATGCACGACTCACAGAATTTAGTAATTT